CTGAGATACAGTCTTGTTCTGTCACCCAGGCTGAAGTGCAGTGGTGCAATCTTGGCTTGCAACCTCTGCCTTCTGGGTTCAAGTGATTCTCTTGCCTCAACCTCCCAAGCAACTGGGATTACAGGTGTGCGCCACCATGCCTGACTAATTTTTTTTTTTTTGTATTTTTAATAGAGACAAAGTTTTACCATGTTGGCCAGGGTGGTCTTGAACTCCTGATCTCAAGTGATCCACCCACCTCAGCCTCCCAAAGTGCTGGGATTATAGGCATGAACCGCCGCACCCGGCCTGCTGACCTATTTTCCTACTATTCTTCCCCTTGCTCACTTGGCTCAACTGGTCTCATTGTTCTTCAAACATGCCCAGGATGGCCCCATTTCAGGGCTTTTGCACTTGCTGTTCCCTCTGTCTGGGACATCCTTCCACCAGGTAGCCACATGGCTCCCTCCCTCATTCCTCCAGGTCTTTTGCACCTTGTCTAAAAGCTGCACTTCCAGCCTGGGCATCACAGCAAGACCCCCCAGCTCTACAAAAAATTTAAAAAAATTAGTTAGGTGTGGTGGCGCACACCTGTAGTCCCAGCTACTTGGGAGGCTTAGGTGGGAGGATTGCTTGAACCCAGGAAGTCAAGGTTACAATGAGCTGTGATTGTGCCACTGCACTCCAAACTGGGTGACAAAAAAAGAAAAAAGAAAAAGCAAAAAAGAAAAAAGAAAGCTGCACTACCAGGCTTTCTGCTCCGTTGCCTTGGTGTATAGACCTAGCATGAATCACTTCCTGAACTCATTTGCTGTTGTCTTGATTCCTGGCTGCAACTACTTACCTGGTTCAGGAACAGTGCCTGGCACACAGTAGGCACTTAGTAAGATGCTGTACAATGGAGAGCTGACCCTGGTCTGTCCTGTTCTTCCTGCCCTCAGGCCAGGATTGGACAGTGATTAGGAGGTGGTGGGTGGTGGAGGAGAGGCAGCAGGAACAGGAAGTAAGGAAGGGTTCAAGGAGGTGAAACTGTGTTGTTTTGGGCAGGGCAAAACCAACAGCAATTCCTATTTCTTGAGAGCTTACTATTGTGCCGTGCACATTACATATTATGATCGTCTCTATTTTCTGGATGAGGAAATGGAGACCTAAAGAAGTGAAATGATTTCTCTAAGGTCACGCAGCGTTCAGTGGGCTAGTGCAACTCGAACTCGTCTAATTCCAGAACTTTCTCTCTTCACCTGGGGCCAGGGGAGGCTCGAGGTACCCTGTTTCTATGAAAGAGTGCTGTATGGAAATGTCCTGAATTCAGCTGCTTTCCGCCAAGCACACATTTTTTCAGGATTTAGAGCTATTTTTCTAATTTAACTGGGCGTTAAATTTGCTAAACCTGGCAACCCAGGTTTAGCGAATATTTTTACTATTTGTAGAGATGGGGGCCTCCCTATGTTGCCTAGGCTGGTCTTGAACTCCTGGGCTCAAGCGACCCTCCTGCCTCGTCCTAGGGGGAGCTCAGACTCAAGCGTAGGACTTCAGCAAATGGCCCGCCTAGGACCCCCGAATGCTTTTTCCAGGCGAATGCACGGCCTGGGCCGGTCCTTACCTTTGGAATCTCAACGAACTTCTGGGCTCGGGCACCGGGGAGACGCGAGCCAGGCGCGGACCCTTTAAGAGTGATTTCGAGGGCGGGCTCACGGGGGCGTGGCGAATCCGGGGGCGTGCCGGGTGGGGGCAGGCCAATCGGGAGGCGGGGAGAACGCGCGGCGCGGGCTGGCTGGGAAGGGTTAAAGGGGCGCGCCAGTGGGTCGCAGACTGTCCGGTCGCTCCCGCCTCCTTCCGTCTGATCCGCACTCTCCCGCGGCTGCGCCGGCCCGGCCGCCCGGGAGACAAAGCGCTGCCGCCGCCGTCTCCGCCGCCACCGGGCCAGTCCCGGACCATGGCCGGGCCATCCCCCGGCCTCGCGCCTCCCGTCCCGTCGCCGCCCTAGGCCTGCGCTGCGAGGTAAGGAGGGCCTGGCCGGGGGACCTGCACAGGGATGCGGGACCCGGGTCGGGCCGCCCTGGGCCTCGGGGTGCCCCGGCCACCTGGAGAGCCCGCTGCGGGGCTCTAGCCCGCTGGAACTCCGCACCAGCGGTCACTTTTCCGGCAGCCTAGGCGGACTTGGCCGATGACTACCCTCCCCGCCCCCGGCCCATAGGGACGTCTGCTGCTGAGGGGGACTACAGCTAAGCGCCCCATTCTGCCGCTGACCACCCCTCTGGGGCTCGGGCTGTCCTTTAACGAACTTAAGAGAGCTCCCAGGCACAATACACAAAGAGACAGGACAGCTGGGAGCAGAACCACAGCTGGAGAAGCAGGCAAGGGGGCTGTCTGTGCGCGGACAGTGGTGCTGGCGTCCCCGGGGTCCCTGCTGGGGCGGTGATGGACTGACTGCTTGCTCTTCAGTGTTCTTGGCACACATGTTTTTCAGCCTGTGCCTGCCACACCCTCTTCCCCATGCCCGCTGCTGGGGGACACTGAGGGCAGCTGGATTCAACCCCAAGACCTGCGGTTCTGGCTTCTTTCATTGAAGTGAGTGCCAAAATGCCATGCCTCAGTCTCCCCAGAGACCTGGGTTCCAGGGCCAGCGGTGCCCCTGGAGATCTTGGATGAATTATTTGCCTTTTGACGACTCTTTCCCTGAGCGTTCAACTCACTACCCACCAAGTATTTTGCAAAATGACTCTTCAGGAGTAAATTCCCTCAACCCTTAGAGGGATGGAAGTTAACTCCCCATTTTGCTGATGAGGCTGCGAAAACCCCCAACTCACAGCACCTACTATTTGCAGTCCCTTTCCCATAGTTTGCCCGTGGGTTTTCCTTCTTTTAGCTCGCTGAACCCTCGACACACAGCCCATTTTAACAGATCAGGAAACTGAGTCATGGAAAGGTGAAATGACTTGTCCAAGGTCCTCTAGCCTGGACCGGCAGAGGCAGGACCCTGGCCTTGGGAGCAGAGGGGGGTCAGGCTCCCTCCAGCTTCCTGCCTGGCTGCGGGCTGTTGAATCAGCAGTAGTGCCCACAGTGGACTCTGAACTTTTTAGAAAACAGCATGGTGAGATAAGACGGGGCAGGCCTTCTCTCTAGGCAAGGCTGGAGCCTGTGCCCCTGTGGCTTCCCGCCTTCCCCGTTCTGGTGGAGGCAGGGGTCATGGGCAGAGCCGGGTTCTGTGCCTGCTGGTGACCTTGAACCAGTTTGGCCTCCATCTGTGCGGTGGAGGGGGGGAGTGTTGCTGAGCAGGAGGGAAGGTCCTATTCCTTTGACCTTGTTGGGGGGTGGAGACCCCAAGATCAGCTCCGTTTTTGGGTGGTTTGCCTGGAGCATGTGATTTTGCGCACAGTTGTATGCCTTTGGCCAACTTACTGAACCGCTCTGTGGCCATTTCCACGTCTATGAATGTGGGGTGAGACCCCTTGTCTTGGGCCTGTTGAGAAGTTTAAGGAGATACCTGTAGAATGAATCAAACAGCTATGTGAGCACTTACTGCATGCTAGGCACTGGAATTCAGATCACAAATGCCCCTGCTTTCCTGGAGCAGGCAAAAATGACCCAAGTACTAATAATTTCAGGAGGACGCACAGGAGAGGGACTGGGGGGCATAGGGTGGCCAGGGACCGCCTCTCTGAGGTGGTGATGGCCAGGCTGAGACCAAAGGATGGGGAGCTGGCCTTGTGAAGACCTGGAGAGGACACTGTAGGCAGATAACCAGGGCCAGGTCTCAGAGGCAGGGATGTGTCGGCTGTATTTGAGGAACAGAAAGGAGGCCAGGATGGCTGGAGCTGAATGAGCAAGGGGGAAAGGGGTAGGGAAAGGGAACTTGGAAGCCATGGGAGGCTTTTTTTTTTTTTTTTTTCTGAGACAGGGTCTCACTATGTTGTCCAGGCTGGAGTGCAGTGGCATGATCGCTCCCAAGTTCAAAGGGTCCTTACATGTCAGCCTCCCAGATAGCTAGGACTAGAGGTGTGTGCCACCATACCCAGGTGTTTTTTCTGTTTTTTATAGTGATAGGGTCTTGCTGTGTTGTCCAGGCTGGTCTCTAACTCAAGCAATCCTCCTGCCTCAGCCTTCCAAAGTGCCAGCATTACAGGTGGGAGCCACCGCGCCCTGCCTAAGGATTGAATTTTATGCTGAGAGAAGCAGGGAGCCATGGGAGGGTTTAGAGCAGAGGAGGAGTGTGATTGGACTTAATTTTCACAGGATCCCTCTGTGGGGAGGGGATTTCAGTGTGGCTTGGAGAAGAGCCTGGGAAATAGGCTTGGATCTTACCTTGAGGAACGTGGACAGGAAGGGGAAAGGAGACTTCTGAGGAGGCTTCAGCAGCTGACCCAGTGAATGGCAATGGGGCTTCGAATGGGGAGGTGGGGTGGACAGATTAGGCCACTGATTTGGAAGAGGCTGGAGGGGGGATCAACTGGACTTGATGTGTGATCAGATGTAGTGGTGAGAGGGAAACCAAGGGCCATTCGCTCAGATCGGAAGCACTAGATGGGGGTGTTTGGGGAAAAGCCAAGAAGAATGTGAATTGCTACTGTGCTCAGCAGGCGCTTTGTGCCTAGCCCCGTGCTCTGCAAAGTCCACGTAGTCACTGTCTCATTGTCACAACAGCCTTGACTTAGGTGCTGTTATGATCCCATTTTACAGATGAAGAAATGGAGGCCCAGAGAGGTTAATAGCCTGCCTGGGGTCCCCCAGCCCGGATGCTGCAGAACTGACATTTGGATCCAGAGGAGAGCGAGCTGAAGCTGGAGCTGAGCAGAGGGCAGGGAGGTGAGTGGTGGCCTGAGAGGCAGGAGGGGAAGTGGGCAAGTGGGATGGGAGGGTCTTATGAGAACTGGGGCCTGCATCCACATGGGAGTGGATGGGTGGTGCTGTGGGGAATGCATGAATCCCTGCAGCTCTGAGAGGGACAGCTGTATCTGAGAGGCAGGGTGGGGATCCAACACCTGGAGCCTTTGGGGGCCCTGGCCTTGGCCCCCTACTAGGTCAGGACAAGCTGCTCTGAGTTTCTTTTTTTAAGTTCCGTGATACCTGTGCAGAACGTGCAGATTTGTTACATAGGTATGCGTGTGCCATGGTGGTTTGCTGCACCTATTGACCCGTCCTCTAATTGTCCTCTCCTCGCCCCCGCATTCCCCACAGGCCCTGGTATGTGTTCTCCTTATTCAACTCCCATTACGAGTAAGAACATGCAGCCAGGTGCGGTGGCACGTGCCTGCAGTCCCAGCTACTTAGGAGGCTGAGGTGGGAGGATCGCTTGAGCCCAGGAGTTCTGGGCTATAGTGTGCTATGCCGATCGAGTGTCCCCACTGAGTTCGACATCAATATGGTGACCTCCTGGGAGCGGGGGACCACCAGGTTGCCTACGGAGGGGTGAACCGGCCCAGGTCAGAAACGGAGCAGGTCAAAACTCCCGTGCTGATCAGTAGTGGGATCGCGCCTGTGAATAGCCACTGCACTCCAGCCTGGGCAACATAGCAGACCCCCATCTCTAAACAAAAACAAAAACAAAAAAACAAAATAACATGCGGCGTTTGGTTTTCTGTTCTGTGTTATTTTGCTGAGGATGATGGCTCTTCCAGCTTCATCCATGTCCCTGCAAAGGACATGAACTCATTCCTTTTTATGGCTGCATAGTATTCCATGGTGTATCTGAACCACATTTTCTTTATTCAGTCTATCACTGATGGGCATTTGGGTTGGTTGATCTCAGTTTCTCAGTCACAACTCATGTTCCCTCTTCTAGGAAGCCTTCCCTGACTGGCTAGGTGGGTGGCAGGAGGTGGCAAGGACACCCCCTCCACCCTAGGTCAAGTAGCCTGACAGGGCCTCACTGTGGTCAGCTGCTCCCAGGAGAGCCACCACCCTGACCTCATTCCACCAGACTCTGAGAAAGACACCACCCAGGCAGGGGAATGAACACTGAGTGCCTGCTGCATGCCAGGGACTCTCTATGCTTTCCCTCTTGAAGAATGTAGCTACCATCCTATGCAGGGTGAGGCTGTGAAATGGGAGATAAGGTGGGCTCTCAAAGTGGCCATGGAAAACCCCAGGGGAAGGTGGCCAGGCCAGGGACACAGGTGCCACCTCCTGATAAGTCCTTCCTGGACAGCGCTGCCCCATCGTATATTCCTTGGGGGAAGGTGGATGGAGTCACTGTGGCCGACCGCATAGAGTTAGAGTCCTCTGTGCTGAATGGGCATGGAATGCCCCTGACCCTCCTTCCTGTAAGTCAGCCTCACCCTGGCCCTGCATCTTTCCCCAGATTCTTTCTTTTTTTTTTTTTTTTTGAGATGGAGTCTGGCTCTGTCCCCAGGCTGGAGTGCTGTAGCATGATCTTGGCTCACTGAAACTTCTGTCTCCTGGTTTCAAGCAGTTCTCCTGCCTCAGCCTCCCAAGTAGCTGGGATTACAGGCACTCCCCACATGCCCGGCTTTTTTTTTTTTTTTTTTTTGAGATGGAGTCTTGCTCTGTTTCCCAGGCTGGAGTGCAGCAGCGTGATCTTGGCTCTCAGTTTCAAGCGATTCTCCTGCCTCAGTTTCCCAGATAGCTGGGATTACGGGTGTGCACCATCACTCTTGGCTACTTTTTTTATTTTTAGTAGAGATGGGGTTTTGCCATGTTGGCCAGGCTGGTCTCGAACTCCTGACCTCAGGTGAGGAGGATCGGCCTGGGCCTCCCAAAGTGCTGGGATTACAGGCATGAGCCACTGCGCCCAGTCTGTCTTATTATTTTCCGTAGAACATGAAACTACCTGGCAGACATCTTATCTGTTAACTGTCTGCTCCCCTTCACCTGCTGCTGGCATTTCAACACCACAAGGGCAGGGACCCTGTCCATCTTGTTATTGCTGAATCCCTAGGCCTGGAACAGTGCCTGGCACACAATAGGCGCTTAATAAACATTTCATCAAGAGGTCCCCGGTTCATATCTGGGTGCCCCCTCAGAAAAAAAAAAATTTCACGAATGAAGTCAATCCCTACAAGTCTCTGAAGTTGGGTCTGCTCATATCCCTATTTCATGGATGGACAAACCAAGGTTGAACCACAGTCGGGGCTGGGACCTGGCAGGGACTGTGGAAGGCCAGCTGGTCTTGTTTCTGGGATGATGGAAATAGCAGCGCCTGCAGTGAGGCCTGGGTTTGGATTTCAGCCCCGCCCAACCTGCTTTGTGACGCTGGGGAAGCAGTTAACCTCTCTGTGCCTCTGTTTCCTCATCTGTTGAACTGGAGCCAGGCCAGTCCCTGTGACCTAAGGTCTGTTGTGAGATCAAGTGAGTACATCCCTCTGAAATGTCTGGCATGCAGCAGGAACTCACATCATTATTTCAGGGATGCAGGAGTGCAGGAGGTTATGAGGTTGTCTGGGAGGCCGGTGAGACCCAGGTTCGAGTCCTATCTCTGCTCCTTGGAGTTGTAAGCCCATGGGCTGGCCGCTTCCATCCTGTGAGCTCAGTTTCCTCATCTGTTAAACGAGGATGTAGAGTGGCTGCAAGGTCCCCTCGGGGCGCTGGGTGACCTAGCCTTGTGCATAACAGCCGTACTGCCGGGGGCAGGCCCCGGGCTTCCCTCCAGGCCTCTCGATTGCCGCCATGAAGCTGAACGAGCGCAGCCTGGCTTTCTACGCCACCTGCGACGCCCCGGTGGACAACGCGGGCTTCCTGTACAAGAAGGGCGGGCGGCACGCGGCCTACCACCGGCGCTGGTTCGTGCTGCGCGGGAACATGCTCTTCTACTTCGAGGACGCGGCCAGCCGCGAGCCCGTGGGCGTCATCATCCTGGAGGGCTGCACCGTGGAGCTGGTGGAGGCCGCTGAGGAGTTCGCCTTTGCTGTGCGCTTCGCGGGGACCCGGGCACGCACCTACGTGCTGGCGGCTGAGAGCCAGGCTGCCATGGAGGGCTGGGTCAAGGCCCTGTCGCGGGCCAGCTTCGACTACCTGCGGCTGGTGGTGCGCGAGCTGGAGCAGCAGCTGGCGGCCGTGCGCAGCGGTGCGGGTGGCCCGGCCCTGCCCCTGCCCCAGTCCCTGCCCCAGCCCCTGTCCCCGACCCCGGCCCTGCCCTCCACCCCGGCCCTGGCCCCTCCCCTGCCTCGCTGGCCCAGCGCCCTCCAGCCCAAGGAAAATGGCTGCGCTGTCTGGAGCACCGAGGCCACCTTCAGGCCTGGCTCCGAGCCCCCTCCACCGCCGCCTCGCCGCAGGGCCTCTGCACCCCATGGGCCTCTGGACTTGGCCCCTTTCGCCCGGCTGCACGAGTGCTATGGCCAGGAGATCCGGGCCCTGCGTGGCCAGTGGCTCAGCAGCCGGGTCCAGCCCTGAGGCCACCAGGGCGCCTGTTTTAGGGGGCGCAAGCCCCACGCCCTCTGGGACAGGCCGGGTCCTGGAGAGACTGGGGAGCGTGGTCCTCAGGGAAACTGTGGGCAAGGCTGGCCCCCAGGCCCTGAGTGGCCTGGTTTGGGGGATGCAGGCTCTGAGAAGATGCTGGATTCTGAATGGGCCTTTAGGACCATGTGACTTAGACACCTAGCCTTGAGGGGATGTCAGGCCCAGGGCCTGAGGGGGAGTTTTCCTGAGAACTCTGGCCCCAGGCCAGCCTGAGCTGCCCGGCAGAGGCCTTTGCTGGCAACAGGTCTTGCTGGGCCTGCAGCTCAGAGGGTCACTGGGACCCTGAGCAGGGCCTTGTGGTGGACAGATTGAGGCTCGGTTGTGGCAGCCACACCTGGGTCTGGCCTTACTCCAGGGCCTGCCAGAGGAGCTAGCCTGGCTCTGTGCCCGCTGTCTCCAGGAACAGGGCAGTGGCCCGGAGGGTGGTGACTGGGGACACAGGCTCAGGTGTTAGTGCAGGACCGGTAGGATGAGGTGGCCTGGTCCCCAGGGCTCCTGGCCTGGGCTGGCTGAGGCGGGACTCTGCTGGGTCCCCTGCCAGGCCTTGTGGTGGTGCTCCTGGCGGCAGCGGCTCTCTGGCCGCGGGCCCAGTCTGTGTCCCCGGGGTGGCCCTCACAGTGCTCTCTGGACACTCCTTGACTGCATCCTTCAGTCTTAGCCCCCGAGCCTGGGGCTCCTTGGGAGCTCGCCTGACCTCCCTTCCTGGGCTGGGCAGCCATGGCCCGAGGTGACCTTCTAGCAGGATCCCTCAGGGAGGGGAGGCCACCAGCTGACTCACCACCCAGGAAGGCCCAGGTGCTGACCTAGTGGCAGAGAAAAAACCACCACACACCAAGCGTGGCTTCCTGAGCCCCTCTTCAGCTCCAGGCAGTCCCCTCCACCATGCCCCCCTTGAGCTCAGCCCCCACCCTCATACCCCCAGTGGTGACCGGGTCTTGCCTGGCTTCGGGGCTGACCGCCGGTACCTTCTTCTCACCACAGTGCCCATTCTTCATGCAAGGAGAACCCTGGGGCTGGGACACACCCTGACCCTCACCCTGGGTCATGTTTACAGTCCTCAGTGCCCCACACTGGGGACCCGCTGAGGATACCTCCACCCTGACCTTGATTTCCCCAAATGCTGCCTCTTAGTGACAGACTTAGCCTGCAGCCTCTTCTGTCTTTGGAGACTCTGGGGCTTGGGGAAATATGGAAGGGGGTGTGTCTGCAATCAAGGCCTCTCCAGCTCACGGCTGGCCCGGTGGGCTGGGACCTCAGTTTGAATTTTACTTTTAAATACTTAACGGTACATTTTTTTTCTCTGGCAACAAAGCTTGATGTTTTCACCGCTTTAGTTTCCTGTTTGCTCGTGGGAGGGGATAGGGTCTGTGACTCCGGGCTTGGCCTGGGGGGTACAATTGTCACTGCCCCTGTGGAGAGGGGGCAGCTTGGGTTGGAGAAGCACAGCCAGAGACGGGAGCCCCTCCAGAGGGAGCCTTGGCTGCTTCATTGTCTTTCCCCCAGCAAGACCTGCTCTCCTCCGCAGGTACCTCTGGGGTTTTGGTACGGTCCCTGCTCACCTCCTTCCAGAGTCCTGAATGGTGTGGGTGTGGGTGGCACAGGCTCTGGGAGGGGTTTGGAGCTGCCCAGAGCCCTGTGTCCTGGCAGACTCAGCTGGTGGGGTGAGGTGTTAACCCCAGTCCTAGCATAGGATTACAGATTCTCAAGGTACGCTGGCCCTGGTCTCCTGGGAGACATGGGTGGGGGATGTCCCCTACCAAAGCACAAGGTGGGGTCCGGCTGCCTCCCAGATTGGGTGTTGGGGAGCTGTCTGGCTGCCTGGGAGGGAAATGCAAGGGCTAAAATAAAATTTTGTCAAGTAATGGCTGATCTGTGTCATTTTTTTTCCCCATCTAAATCCTTGATTGATTTTCCTGGCAGAGCCCAGAGCAGGCTGTGCACGGGCAGGGACTAGTGTGTGGTCCCCCATGGCTGGTGCCCTCCCAGGAACATTCTGACTTCTCAAGGCAGATGCTGGTCCCGTTATACAGATGTGGAAGCTGAAGCTCAGGAGGTTATGAAACTTGCCAAAGCCACATAGCTGGAGAGTGTCAGAGCAGGGATGTAAACCTCTGGCATCCCATGACAGGACAGAGTCTTCAGGAGGAATATAAGAGAAAATGGAACCCAAAGTTCCTTTTCAGAAGGGAGAGAAGGTGGAGGAAAGCCAAGGATATGAAAGCTAACTGTGGGCTGAAGACCTGAGAGTTGGGAGGGACATTAACTGTAATCCTGATCAGGATGGCAGGCGGAAGAGTCAAAACTGAGCGGTTCTCACTGATAAGTTCATGGAGGCTGTGGAGGGGGCTGGAGTGAAGAGGATTCTGGCACCAGTGCAAGTTCAGCGGGAAAGAGCCTGTGATTGATTAATAATGTCAGCTGTGAGCACTGTGTGGCTGGTAGTGGTACTCATGTTATGTATCTGCTCTCTGAATGAGTCTGTCTGCTGGGTTGATGTGGGGTTCATAGAAGGGGCCAAGGTGGCCTAGCATTATGGACTTACGCCCGAGGTCCTCCTCATGTGGACTCACCTTGGGTCACAGGTCTCCCTTGCCAGCCTGGAAAAATCCTGCACATTTAGAAACATGTGGCTTAGGGTGAGCAACCTACAGCCCTCATGTTCAAGTTCAAGAAATGAAAAGTATAAAGGTTAGGGAATCATGGCCCTTATGAGCATCCAGTGTGTGCTGAGTAATTCTTTCCATCTCTTGTGGGACCACAGCTGACAGATGGGGGCTGGGGAAGTGGCTTCCCACACAAGCTGAGTCAGGGTGCTGCCTGTGGCATCCGTGACCGCAGCATGGGGCAAAGAGTGGGGGAAATAGCGGGAGAAAAACACAGCTCCAGGAGGGAGGGTCAACAGCAAAATGCTGGCCATCCAACTGCTGATGTCAGTGATTCCTCTGGACCCAGGGGATGTGTTCAGGGCACAAGTCTAAGGGGGCACGGTATGTGGTCAAAAGGAATGAGGCTTCTGACGGGCCACTTGGAGTAGAGGGTGAGGCCCTCAAGCAGGACACTCCAGCCAGAGGTTAGGCTGAGTGCCAAACATCCATCCACCCTAAATACTTATGTAGTCAAATTCAGTTACGCTGCTGTAGGCTCTCAGAGAATGGCTAAACTTTGGCTGCCAAAGAGTGGCTGTGTGACCTGATTTTGGCCAATGAGATGTGAGTGGTCTACCTTCTAAAACACAAACACAATAAAGAGCTCTTCATTGTTCTCTGTGGGGAGGGAGAAGAGGGAGTAATGTCTGTGATGCCTGGCACTGTGGCAGCCATCTTGCCATCAAGAAGTTGACCACTCTGAAGAATGTGCCCCATTCTGAGTTTGGCACACACTTTAGGGTGGTTCTGGATAGCCAATTGCAGGGCTTTTGTTGGCTCAGTGGGGTGCAGGTTGGGGCAAGAATGGGATTTCCTGAAATAGTAAAGGGGCCACTGCTTCTCATCCCTTCCTAAAGAGTGAACAAATATGGAGGAAGATCATGTCCCCCTCTGGCCATGTATCTTGAATCTTCCTAAGGGGCTGCTTTGTCCCTACTATGTGCTATGTGGCTAGATCTGATGCCAACTATCCACTCCTCCTAACCCCTCCGCGGATGAACTCACCTCACCTTACACAAACTTTGTCATGAAAAAGTTCCTGCTACTTGTTCCAGCTTCTAAAATTTAAGCATTCAACATGAAACTCTTCCAAAATGGTAAAATAATAAGTTGTCTAAGCCTAGGTGAAGGTTTTATATTTTTCTGATGAAGCCTTTATAAAAGGTGGGCAAAATATTTACAAGTCATTTGCAATCTGATATGCAGAATATAGAGAGAACTCCTAAAACTTATAACAGCAACAAAAAACAACTTGACTTAAAATTCAGCAAAAGGCCGGGTGGTCCATGCCTGTAATCCTAGCACTTTGGGAGGCTACGGTGGGCAGATCACCTGAGGCCAGGAGTTCGAGACCAGCCAGGCCAACATGGTGAAATCCTGACTGCACTAAAAATACAAAAATTAGCCAGGTGTAGTGGCAGGTGCCTGGAGTCCCAGCTATTTGGGAGGCTGAGGCAGGAGAATCCCTGGAATGCCAGAGGTGGAGGTTACAGTGAGCCAAGATGGCACCACAGCACCGCAGCCTGGGTGATACAGCAAGACTCCATCCCCCCGCACCTGCAAAAAAAAAAAGTCCGGGAGTGGTGGCTCATGCTTGTAATCCTAGCACTTTAGGAGGCTGAGGCAGGCAGATCACTTGAGGTCAGGAGTTCGAGACCAGCCTGGCCAACATAGTGAAACCCTGTCTCTACTAAAAATACAAAATTAGCAGGGCATGGTGGGAGGTGCCTGTAATCCCAGTTACTCAGGAGGCTGAGGCAAGAGAATCGCTTGAACCCAGGAGGTGGATGTTGCAGTGAGCCGAGATTGTGCCACTAGATTCCAGCTTGGGGGTGGGGGTAGAGTGAGACTCAGTCTCCAAAAAAAAAAAAAGGGGGCAAAAGACTTGAGTAGACATTTCTCTAAAGAAGATATATAAATGGCCAATAAGCAATAAGTACATGAAAAGATGCTCACCATCAGTATCAGTAGCAAAATACAAGTCAGATTAGGATGGCTACAGTCAACACAGAAAATATCAAGTGTTGGCCAGGATGTGTAGATATTGGAACCCTTGTGCACTGTTGATGGGAATATAAAATGATGCAGCCTCAGCCGGCATGGTAGCTCATGCCTGTGATCCCAGCACTTTGGGAGGCTGAGGCGGGTGGATCATCTGAGATCAAGAGTTCGAGACCAGCCTGGCCAACATAGTGAAACCCCATCTCTACTAAAAATACAAAAAATTAGCTGGGTGTGGTGGCGGGCACCTGTAATCCCAGCTACTAGGGAGGCAGAGGCAGGAGAATCGCTTGAACCCTGGGAGGTGGAGGTTGCAGTGAGCTGAGATTGTGCTATTGCACTCCAGCCTGGGTAACAAGGGTGAAACTCCATCTCAAAATAAATTAAAAAAAAAAAAAAAAAAAGTCCTGGCATGGTGGCTCATGCCTATAATCCCAGGACTTTGGGA